TCTAAACTACAAAAGACATATGACTTCATCGTCGAAACTCGCCAGCGTTGGAGCCAGCACCCTCTAGTAGCAAGCAGCAGGAATTAAATTTAACACCTAATAACACAAGTTGGATTATAAAGGCGGCATATGATGTCGAATTATTTATAATCGATGAGGTATCTATGATTTCGAATGTAACACTTATGTTTACGATTATATAAAATCTTTGATACGATAGATACAGATGATGATTTTCGATGATTGACAATGAAGAAATTCTACTTATAGCAGAAGATGATATAGACTGTGCTCCAGCAGAGAGAAAAAAAGTGAGAAAAAAAGTGCACAAAATTTTGGCCGACAAAGATGACAAAGTTTCGGAAATAGCTGGCATCCAAAGAGTAATAGCGATTAAAATTGGCGCTAAAGTGATGATTCGACGAAACATTGATGTAACTTTGGGATTTGTCAATGGAACGATAGGCAATATAGTTGCAGTTAATCACTCTGATTGATGGAAATCGTATTGATTCCATTAAAATAATTATTTCGGATAACAAAGAAATCACAATAACGAAATTAGATATTAAATTCGAAGTATTCCACAAAATGGTGGTACATCGGACACAATTTCCATTGTCTCTCAGTTATGGAATAACTATATACAAAAGTCAAGGAATTACGTGTAAAAATGCAATGATGGATCTAGGAACGAGTGTGTTCAGTCATGGTCATTCTTATGTAGGTCTGTCACGAGTGAGTACACTGGAAGGCCTACATTTGATCAATTTCTATTCAGCATCTGTAAAAGCAAACTCGGGAGCCATTGTAGAATATAATCGACTGAGATCCATGTTCAAATCTCAGCTAGAACAAATCAATTCGTCCGAAAAAAAGGCTGTGAAAATTCGCGACTGTGGGTGGGCCATACCTTATATCATTGATGATGTTCAGAATTATGGTTGCGAGGCGCCAGAAAATATAGTTACATGGAAAATATACGGCCTCCGCAATGATGATCGTGTTTTGTATTACGCTAATGTCATATTGCAGTGTGCGATTCATTGTGTACGTATCAGGCAACAAATACTGAAAAATAAAGTATCGAACGTATTGACTGATGCTATCTGTGCGTACGCTGAGCGTAAGCATTGCAACATTGTTGCGGTTAGATCTGTCGGAGATTGCTTCGGAGGACGAACACAACAAGATGTTTTGGAATTTTTTACGACTATAATATCGACGTATTCCGACATAAATGATATATTAGAATTGAAGCACGTAATATCTTGTTCAAATGCCAAGTGTAATTACTAGACTGCGGAAAGTTTATGCAAAATACTTAACTGAATGTTTTGCATAAAATGCATATTTTACAATTTTGCAAATATACAGATGGCATCTCAATCTTTTTAATTCACCTTTTAATAACTCTTTAACGAACAACGATTGACTTCTAAAACTGTTCGATAGTTAATATTCAGTTAAGTATTTTGCATAAAGTTCCGAAGTCTAGTAATTACAGTGTAACTACGCTGGAAAAGAGTTGTTTGCTAATATTACCTATACAGTCGACATTAAAAAGGAAAAAAACTTGTCTCTTTGCAAACTTTGATTGATTTAGAATTTTTGAAATGAGAAACGATAAATGGTAATTGTAATGAATGTGAGGGTACCGTGCTGAAAAAGAAAACCGTAATCGAATCGACCTTATCCGTTCTCATAATACAGCTCAATTTATACATTTTTGTAAAAATAGGTGTTTCTAAAAAAATTATCGATAATCGGCTTAACGTCACACTGACGAGTAATGTGACAATTAATAAAAAAAAGTACAAGGTAATGAGCGCTATATTTCATAAGGCCGAAGAAATGAATCGCGGTCATTACACGTGTATGTTGAGGACAGACAAAAAATTGGAATGATGTTACTGTAACGATTTACAAGTTATCAAGAAGAAATGGCCCAGAGGAGCACAAGGGGCATACATGTTGTTCTTGGAGCAGATTAAGTAAGTTTGGAAATAACTTTTACATTTCTGTCAGTATATTTATACAATAATAACAATTTTTATCTAGTTAATTGAAAATGAATCGTGGTCACTACACGTATACGTTGAGAGCAGACAAATATCGGAATGGTATTATTGTAATGATATTGTACTTGGTCACAATAATAATAAATCGTCTGCTTCGGTGCTGTATAAAGGCTGCCGTAAGCGCTGAGATAAAATAAATTATATTATATTAAAAAGTATTTTACACTAGATGTGGTATGCTTAAGTTTACTAAGAAATATGGTATATATGTACGTTGTCAAAACATGATTTTTAAAGTGATGTATATATTTAGGATCGTGTTTAATATAATATAAGATAAGATTCTAGCTTTAAGTAATGTAGCGGACCATGGAGGTGAGAGCGTATACTTCACGACTTAGGTGCACCCTGATGAAATGCCGGGTAGGCGGTTCCGAAATGTGTCTAATGTGGTCTTGCGGAGCTGCTGAATAGGGGAAGTTTTTTAGCAGGCTATGATGTCCGCTGTCCTTCCTTATAGAAGCGACGCATGGAATCCTGCACAATCAGAAGACCGGCTCCTGGGTGTCTTCCCCTCATCCGCTTAGGTTCTCTTTCCAGAGCATACCGGATGAGGGGCTATGTAAAGATTTTTCTCCTCTTCGCAAACGAAAAAAAGGATATTCATACAATATTACAAATTCATTCTTTTGCAATCGAAAGAAATATTAAAGGTCTTGTTAAAATCGGAGAGTCGAAGAAAATATGGTTGCATTCTCACGAGAATGAGCGATGGAGGGCCCATTTTTTATTTTAAATATATTCATATAATATTAAAATAAGAATTCATTCCGTTGCAATTGGAATCAGTATGTAATTGTAATGTCCGGTGCGGTACATTATAGCACTCCGGCCGTTTACCAAGCGAACGCGAGCGCACAGTATAGCAAATGATACAATACGTGCCGCGAGAACCTATAGCATATGCTACCGTTGCCGTTGCCAACGAACGTTGCGCGCACAGCGCCTGCGCGACTCATAAAATAGAGAACTAATAGAAAATCCGCTAAAAACACGTAGATTGCACCGCTAAAAAACGGGAAACTATGAACATTAGAACTAGCCATTTAATAATCGCGAAGCAATAACACCGATTCATTAAGAACAAGCGAAAACACGTAATGCACTTACAAAATGCATAGCGATGCAACACAAAATGCACGCATAAATCACGAAGGCCTCAAATAGCAAATGGGAGCTACTGCAATTTGAAGGAAGGCACGAATAAGGAAATAAGAGCCCTAAATAAACAAGGGAGACTCGCGAGCGCTTCAGAACAAAGAACTCAAGATACGCGGAAAAGCAGCGTGAAAAAACGCGCAAAGAATACACGCTGGCTACACCGCAACCGAGTGCATCACGCGCCAGCCAAGCGCACCCTTAAGAATATTGCAAACCCCGCTAAACACGAGAACGATCAAAAAGACGAAAAGACACGCAGCAATCGAATAAATCATGATAAAAGAATTAGAATATTCTAGAGAATTTCGCAACAAGTGTGCGAAAACACCCCCTTACCGCGAGGAGTCACAATGCGAAACATATATAAAGCGAGATGATTTACAGACAAATTACCTTATTCCTTCTTAGCTACCAAGACGGTAAGGACTCCTAGCGCTTTTAGTAGCGCTCCGGACCATCCGTTGTATCCTACAACTCCAGCTCTGATCGTGCGCCAACCACGGCGTCAGACGAGCTAATTCCTTTCCTGATCTCTGCAGCGCAAACCACGGCGACGTGGAGATCACCTCCTTGCGGAAATTCCAACGAGCGCCTTCTCGGCGTCGAGGGTTCCGCACTCACTTTCTTTCCGATCTGGCGCTAATCAATACGTTCTTTCTGGGCACAGATGCCAAAGAGAAAACGTACACGCGGCAAACGAGGGGGTTGGCGTACCCATCTCAAGGAGCTGCAACGGGAGCTCCTAACTACGGGCAATTTCGATCCTTCAATTCATTGGAGGGAGTACGCGGGGGACGCCAACAAAACCTCGGTCGACAAAACGGACACGACTCGTGAGATCGCAGATTCACCATACGCTATCGGTGAAAACGTCGCCTCGAAAACCGTGGCCACCGCGACACCGCCGCCGCGGCCAAAACCGCCTCCATCTCCGCCCCACGTGGCGCCCACACGAAAGGCCACTAGGCCTATTATCATCACATCCAAACCTCGGGTTATAAGCAACACCCCGTGTACTTTGAATATTAAAATCTTATAATCTTAAATATTTCTATTTTTATTAAAAGCCTTTTCATTCCCTTCCAACTCCTCATCATGCCAGAGAGTGTAGATAGAGAGACAGCGAAATGAAGCCTAACTGACGCTTCCTCTAAACTCTCTATTTTATTTTATCAGAAGGACCTGGAAGGCTAATTACCTTAAACTCTAGTAAATTTATAGAATCATATATATAATTCTCGAATATCGTGCTCAATTCCGAGCACTGGTGACAGCTGCCCATAATAATAACAAAGATACGCGTCTAAACACCACGCTGAAGGGAGGGGTATAGTTAATTCGGTCAAAAGAAGGCATGTTTTTATGAATATTTTTTAGGCGCTCTGGTTAGTGGCAGTGTATTGAAATAAAATTATAATAATAAAACTACATCTCAAGAATATTCAGTAAAAATTTGGACGCAAAAAACTAAAAACTGTGCAAATGGCACGCGATCGACGGAGGCGCCTCGAAAAAAAGACGTCCTGCGGTGCGCAACATTTCTCGGCACTGAATCATCTGAAATCAAAAAACCAAAACTTTTTAGTTAGTTTATGAGTTTCTTGAGGTAACGCTGTCGAGATTTTTTTTTTTAATCGATTTTTGAATTTT